TTGCACCACACGGTGCGCAAGCAAGAGAGTATGCTACAACACAGAGATCAAAGGTGCCATGCGCGGACAGCTGACTCCCATGCCGGTGCTGCACCGCCCTCCGGGCGGAAGTCGTCAGCAAGACGGGCAGGGGTGCCAGCAACGTCCAAACAACTGTTCATGACCATTCTTCCCCACGTTTGCCAGGGTCGCCTTCTCTTCCGGGGACCTGTCGGCTGCTTGAGAGTTAGACTGCCTGGTTCAAATACCGACTGTCTCACTGGATCGTTGCCCGCGCGTCTAGCGAGCTGCCCAAAGAAAGTCATCTGTCGCTTGACGATGAGCTCGCTGAGCGGCCGTTCGCTGGCCATGCCTAGCACGGCGCTGTTCGACACGCGACTGATATAAGAAGGTGGGACCCGAAATATAGATCTCAAGCAGTGTGCCTGGAAGCCGTCAACTCTTCTACGTTCTGCCTGATTAAGACATGCTGCAAACAGACAGTACACAAGCTTGGCGACAATGCACGCGTTGAAGATTGCTACTTTTCTCGCTCTGCTCAACGAAGAATGTGACCACACCGATTTCAATGTTTTGAAACCCTGTTTGGCCATGCCGATTCTCCTGTGCAGATCAGGTCCACATCGTCCGTCCGCCGCGAGCTGGGTGCCGAGGTAAGTCAGAGCTTCCTTTTCTTGCACTTGAATTCCCGCGCTGTTCTGCAGGTGCGCGTTAGAGCGGACCTTCATGAGCTCCACTTTCCTCTAGTTCAGGCTCAACCCGTAATGCTTGCCGCAAGTCTCGACGCAGGCCATCAGCTCGCCCACTACGACGGGATCAGCATCGAGGAGCAGAGTGTCGTCGGCGTAGATTAATTCCCGGACGAAGTGCGCATCGGGAAGATCTGGCAAACGAGAACGGAGTTCCTTGTGTGCGTCTGCCATCAAAGTCGTCATCACAATGGTGAACAGAAAAGGAGACAAGGGGCACCCTTGGCAAATGCCGTAACACTGATCCCGTTCAGCGGATGATGCACCGAAATCCGACACCACAAACGTCCTGGCACTGTAAGTTGACTTGACCATGGCGACGAATTTGTCTGGGCACCCAAATCTTTTGAGCGAGGTTGATACGGCGTCCGGCGCCACAGAGTCGAATGCCTTCGCCCAGTCTAAAGCCAAAAGCAAAGTGCTGCCGTGCTTGGTTGCCCATGCGTCCTCTATGACTCGTCTGGCCACGAAGATCGCATCTGCGGTGCCTCTGTGAGACCGAAACCCAAATTGAATTGGCCAGATGCGGTCTTCGGCCCCAGCGTCCTTCAGCCTCTGCAGCATGATCATCGCGAATACCTTGTACCCGATGGGGAGCAAGCGTATCGGTCTGTAGTTATCGCACGATGCCGGGTCGCCCTTTTTGTAGATCATGCGGACGCGCGCCTTGTGCCAGGCGTCAGGGGTGCGACCCTGCGTCCACGCCATATTGCAGAATCTGGTAACCCAAGCGAGCGCAGGCACTCCGTCCTCTGCAGCGGCTTTCCAGAACTCGGGCGGCAGATCATCGAGGCCGCCAGCGCGACCGTTTTTCAATTTCTTTGCAGCCCGAGAGACTTCACCCTCCGTGATGGCACTTAAATTCACCGGCAGCTCCTCGCTCAGCGCAGATGTGTCCGGCAATGCTGTGGTTGGCCGAACAGCCCACTGGACAGTCTCCAAATGTTTTGCCAGCGTGTCGGCCCTGCTGTCGCTGTCGACCAGCTCGCCGGCGCTGTCGCGGAGCCGACCCTGTGCGGGGCAAAACCCCCGTCGTAGTTTACGGATCTGCGCCCAGTCTCCATTCTGTGTTAGCTCGTCTAGCCATCTAGCACTGTCCCTTGCGACCGACCATCTGATACGTTTCGCCGCTTCTTTCTCGCGCGCGACGTCACCGGCGAGTCTGGCCTGCGATCGCATGCTGATCAGCTCGAGGGTATCATTGCTAATCCAAGGCTTTCGTTTCCTTTGGGTCTCTAGCGGCAGGGAGCATTCTTCAGCGTGCTTGAAGCTGTCAGCCAAGCGGCACCATCCCAAGTTCACGTCACTTTGGTCCGGCGCCTCGTCTTCGAATGCTTCCAAAGAGTCTGCGAAGTGCATGGCCAGATCACGTCTTGCCCACGGCTGCGAGAGAAGGCTGCGATCTCGAAGGTACGCAGGTTCTCGATCGCATTTGTCAACGTCTAGCAGCACAGACGCCTGCGGCAGGAAGTGGTGGGATTATCGGGATCCACCAAAAAAGGGTGACCCTGGAGGGGGGGCACGAATTCGATCCGTTGGTGCAGCGACCTGCCGCAAATAGATGCCCCCCGCATTCCCACCTATCGGCAACTATCGGGAGTTGCCGGCGGCTGGGGGGCATCTCTTTTGGGCGGTTCGGTGCAAAAACCGATCGAACTCACACAACCCCCGAGGCCCCCCCCCTTTGCGGGATCCCGAGATGAGGGGCGCTCGCTCCTGGGGCGAGCCGTGGGTCAGTGCCGAACGAGAGC